GTAGCTGTGGTGACAGGAGAACACGCGGGAGTGGTTAAGGAGGGGTTGGGGTAGTGATAGGGGTTGGGGTAGTAATAGGGGTAGTGATAGGGGTAGTGATAGGGGTTGGGGTAGTGATAGGGGTTGGAGTAGTGATAGGGGTAGTGATAGGGGTTGGGGTAGTGATAGGGGTTGGAGTAGTGATAGGGGTAGTGATAGGGGTTGGGGTAGTGATAGGAGTTGTGATAGGGGTTGGAGTAGTGATGGGGTTGGGGTAGTGATAGGGGTTGGGGTAGTGATAGGAGTTGTGATAGGGGTTGGGGTAGTGATAGGGGTAGTGATGGGGTTGGGGTAGTGATAGGGGTTGGGGTAGTGATAGGGGTTGGGGTAGTGATAGGGGTAGTGATAGGGGTTGGGGTAGTGATAGGGGTTGGGGTAGTGATAGGGGTTGGGGTAGTGATAGGGGTAGTGATAGTGGTAGTGATAGGGGTTGTGATGGGGGTTGTGATGGGGGTTGTGATAGGGGTAGTGATAGGGGTAGTGATAGGGGTAGTGATGGGGGTTGTGATGGGGGTTGTGATAGGGGTAGTGATAGGGGTAGTGATAGGGGTAGTGATAGGGGTAGTGATAGGGGTTGGGGTAGTGATAGGGGTTGGAGTAGTGATAGGGGTAGTGATAGGGGTTGGGGTAGTGATAGGAGTTGTGATAGGGGTTGGAGTAGTGATGGGGTTGGGGTAGTGATAGGGGTTGGGGTAGTGATAGGAGTTGTGATAGGGGTTGGGGTAGTGATAGGGGTAGTGATGGGGTTGGGGTAGTGATAGGGGTTGGGGTAGTGATAGGGGTTGGGGTAGTGATAGGGGTAGTGATAGGGGTTGGGGTAGTGATAGGGGTTGGGGTAGTGATAGGGGTTGGGGTAGTGATAGGGGTAGTGGTAGTGATAGGGGTTGTGATGGGGGTTGTGATGGGGGTTGTGATAGGGGTAGTGATAGGGGTAGTGATAGGGGTAGTGATGGGGGTTGTGATGGGGGTTGTGATAGGGGTAGTGATAGGGGTAGTGATAGGGGTAGTGATAGGGGTAGTGATAGGGGTAGTGATAGGGGTAGTGATATGGGTTGGGGTAGTGATAGGGGTTGTGATGGGGTAGTGATAGGGGTAGTGATAGGGGTAGTGATAGGGGTTGGGGTAGTGATAGGGGTTGTGATGGGGTAGTGATAGGGGTAGTGATAGGGGTAGTGATAGGGGTTGGGGTAGTGATAGGGGTAGTGATAGGGGTTGGGGTAGTGATAGGGGTAGTGATAGGGGTTGGGGTAGTGATAGGGGTAGTGATAAGGGTTGGGGTAGTGATAGGGGTAGTGATAGGGGTTGGGGAAGTGATAGGGGTTGGGAAGTGATAGGGGTTTGGGTAGTCATAGGGGTAGTGATGGGGTTGGGGTAGTGATAGGGGTTGTGATAGGGGTTGGGGTAGTGACAGGGGTAGTGATGGGGGTTGGGGTAGTGATAGGGGTAATGATAGGGGTAGGGATAGGGGTAATGATAGGGGTAGGAATAGGGGTAGTGATAGGGGTAGTGATGGGGTTGTGATAGGGGTAGTGATAGGGGTAGTGATAGGGGTTGGGGTAGTGATGGGGTTGGGGTAGTGATGGGGTTGGGGTAGTGATAGGGGTTGGGGAAGTGATAGGGGTAGTGATGGGGTTGGGGTAGTGATAGGGGTAGTGATAGGGGTTGGGGTAGTGATAGGGGTAGTGATAGGGGTTGGCGTAGTGATAGGGGTTGGGGTAGTGATAGGAGTAGTGATGGGGTTGGGGTAGTGATAGGGGTTGGGGTAGTGATAGGGGTTGTGATAGGGGTTGGGGAAGTGATAGGGGTAGTGATAGGGGTTGAGGGAGTGATAGGGGTAGTGATGGGGTAGTGATAGGGGTTGGGGTAGTGATAGGGGTTGGGGTAGTGATAGGGGTAGTGATAGGGGTTGGGGTAGTGATAGGGGTTGGGGTAGTGATAGGGGTTGGGGTAGTGATAGGGGTAGTGATAGTGGTAGTGATAGGGGTTGTGATGGGGGTTGTGATGGGGGTTGTGATAGGGGTAGTGATAGGGGTAGTGATAGGGGTAGTGATGGGGTTGTGATAGGGGTAGTGATAGGGGTAGTGATAGGGGTAGTGATAGGGGTAGTGATATGGGTTGGGGTAGGGATAGGGGTTGTGATGGGGTAGTGATAGGGGTAGTGATAGGGGTAGTGATAGGGGTTGGGGTAGTGATAGGGGTTGTGATGGGGTAGTGATAGGGGTAGTGATAGGGTAGTGATAGGGGTTGGGGTAGTGATAGGGGTAGTGATAGGGGTTGGGGTAGTGATAGGGGTAGTGATAGGGGTTGGGGTAGTGATAGGGGTAGTGATAAGGGTTGGGGTAGTGATAGGGGTAGTGATAGGGGTTGGGGAAGTGATAGGGGTTGGGGAAGTGATAGGGGTTTGGGTAGTCATAGGGGTAGTGATGGGGTTGGGGTAGTGATAGGGGTTGTGATAGGGGTTGGGGTAGTGACAGGGGTAGTGATGGGGGTTGGGGTAGTGATAGGGGTAATGATAGGGGTAGGGATAGGGGTAATGATAGGGGTAGGGATAGGGGTAGTGATAGGGGTAGTGATGGGGTTGTGATAGGGGTAGTCATAGGGGTAGTGATAGGGGTTGGGGTAGTGATGGGGTTGGGGTAGTGATGGGGTTGGGGTAGTGATAGGGGTTGGGGAAGTGATAGGGGTAGTGATGGGGTTGGGGTAGTGATAGGGGTAGTGATAGGGGTTGGGGTAGTGATAGGGGTAGTGATAGGGGTTGGCGTAGTGATAGGGGTTGGGGTAGTGATAGGAGTAGTGATGGGGTTGGGGTAGTGATAGGGGTTGGGGTAGTGATAGGGGTTGTGATAGGGGTTGGGGTAGTGACAGAGGTAGTGATGGGGGTTGGGGTAGTGATAGGGGTAATGATAGGGGTAGGGATAGGGGTAATGATAGGGGTAGGGATAGGGGTAGTGATAGGGGTAATGATAGGGGTAGGGATAGGGGTAGTGATAGGGGTAGTGATGGGGTTGTGATAGGGGTAGTGATAGGGGTAGTGATAGGGGTTGGGGTAGTGATAGGGGTAGTGATGGGGTTGGGGTAGTGATAGGGGTTGGGGTAGTGATAGGGGTTGGGGAAGTGATAGGGGCAGTGATGGGGTTGGGGTAGTGATAGGGGTAGTGATAGGGGTTGGGGTAGTGATGGGGTAGTGATAGGGGTTAGGGTAGTGATAGGGGTAGTGATGGGGTTGGGGTAGTGATAGGGGTAGTGATGGGGGTTGTGATAGGGGTTGGGGTAGTGATAGGGGTAGTGATAGGGGTAGTGATAGGGGTAGTGATAGGGGTAGTGATGGGGGTTGTGATAGGGGTTGGGGTAGTGATATGGGTAGTGATAGGGGTAGTGATGGGGGTAGTGATGGGGGTAGTGTTAGGGGTAGTGATAGGGGTTGTGATGGGGGTTGTGAATGGGGTAGTGATGGGGGTTGTGATGGGGGTAGTGATAGGGGTAGTGATGGGGGTAGTGATGGGGGTTGTGATAGGGGTTGTGATAGGGGTTGTGATAGGGGTAGTGGTAGGGGTAGTGATAGGGGGTAGTGATAGGGGTAGTGATAGGGGTAGTGATGGGGGTAGTGATAGGGGTAGTGATAGGGTAGTGATAAGGGTAGTGATAGGGGTAGTGATGGAGGAAGTGATAGGGGTAGTGATAGGGTTGTGATGGGGGTAGTGATGGGGGTAGTGATGGGGGTAGTGATGGGGGTAGTGATAGGGGTAGTGATAGGGGTAGTGATAGGGTTGTGATGGGGGTAGTGATAGGGGTAGTGATAGGGGTAGTGATGGGGGTAGTGATAGGGGTAGTGATAGGGTTGTGATGGGGGTAGTGATAGGGGTAGTGATAGGGGTAGTGATAGGGGTAGTGATAGGGGTAGTGATAGGGTTGTGATGGGGGTAGTGATAGGGGTAGTGATGGGGGTAGTGATGGGGGTAGTGATAGGGGTAGTGATAGGGTTGTGATCGGGGTAGTGATAGGGGTAGTGATGGGGGTAGTGATGGGGGTAGTGATAGGGGTAGTGATAGGGTAGTGATAGGGGTAGTGATAGGGGTAGTGATAGGGGTAGTGATAGGGTTAGTGATGGGGGTAGTGATAGGGGTAGTGATAGGGTTGTGATGGGGGTAGTGATAGGGGTAGTGATAGGGGTAGTGATGGGGGTAGTGATGGGGGTAGTGATAGGGGTAGTGATAGGGTTGTGATGGGGGTAGTGATAGGGGTAGTGATAGGGGTAGTGATGGGGGTTGTGATAGGGGTAGTGATAGGGGTAGTGATAGGGGTAGTGATAGGGGTAATGATAGGGGTAGTGATGGGGGTAGTGATGGGGGTTGTGATAGGGGTAGTGATGGGGGTTGTGATAGGGGTAGTGATTGGGGTAGTGATGGGGGTTGTGATAGGGGTAGTGATAGGGGTTGGGGTAATGATAGGGATTGGCCTGGTTGTAGCTGGCGTGCGGGGAGCAGCAGGATGATGATGACGGGCTATGAGATGATCAACGTCTTCATAATTATCCCCATCACGCTTCGACCGCGTCATTCAGTCACAATACAATGACAAATGGAATGATGGTGGTGGTGAGGATGATAGCGGCGATAGCGGCGATAGCATTGATGGCGGTGGTGATAGCAGTGATGGTGATGGTGAGGATGATGGTGATAGCGGTGATGGTGAGGATGATGGTGATATCGATGATGGCGGTGGTGAGGATGGTAATCAAGTCACACTGCTCAATGCTATTCGACCAGTTCACCCTTGCACCCTCCAGCACTGCCTCCACCAAAACTTTTAGCCACCGCTCACCGCTCACCGCTATTCACCGATCACCGCTCACCACTCACCGCTATTCACCGATCACCGCTCACCACTCACCACTCACCGCTATTCACCGCTCACCACTCCTCACCGCTCCTCACCACCGGCGTGTGTGTCCCCCTTATCAGCGCGGAACCGCACGCTGCCACAGCGAGTGATTACCGAGTTCAACGCCTTCACCGTCGGCATCGGCCTGGACAAGGAGACCACGGTGGTGGTGCCCAACTCTGGTGAGATGTTGACTACCTCGCCTGGTCTATAGGAGGTCTGTGTCTCTCATCATCATCACGGTGGTTAGGAGATGTTAACTACCTCGCCTGGTATGCAGGAGGTCTGTGTCTCTCTCTCTCATCATCATCACGGTGGCTATGAGATGTTGACTACCTCGCCTGGTCTGCAGGAGGTCTGTGTCTCTCTCTCTCATCATCATCATCATCACGGTGACTATGAGATGTTGACTACCTCGCCTGGTCTACAGGAGGTCTGTGTCTCTCTCTCATCATCATCACGGTGGCTATGAGATGTTGACTACCTCGCCTGGTCTACAGGAGGTCTGTGTCTCTCATCATCATCACGGTGGCTATGAGATGTTAACTACCTCGCTTGGTATACATGAGGTCTGTGTCTGTCTCTCATCATCATCACGGTGGCTAGGAGATGTTAACTACCTCGCCAGGTATACAGGAGGTCTGTGTCTGCCTCTCATCATCATCACGGTGGCTAGGAGATGTTAACTCCCTCGCCTCATGGTCTGCAGGAGGTCGTGGGTTCGATCCCCACCCTGACGACGCCTGCTGCTGAATATTTGGAGTTTGCGTCTCTCTCATCATAATCACGGTGGCTAGGAGATGTTAACTACCTCGCCTGGTTTGCAGGAGGTCGTGGGTTCAATCCCGGACCCTGACGATGCTTGCTGCTAATATTTGGAGTTTGCGTCTCTCTCTCTCATCATCATCATCACGGTGGCTATGTGATGGTAACTCCCTCGCCTGTGAATGCTCCACACGGCGTTACTTACCGGGGCGGCATGCCGGATCCGAACCGCGAGCCGCTGCAGCCGATCGCTTTGAGCCTCAGAGGAGTCTCCACACAATACCGCGGGGATCTCAAAATTCACGCAGCTTTTTTATTTCTCTTCTCTCTCTCCCTCTCTCTCCCTCTCTCCTCTCCCTACGTCTCTGCTGTCGCTCGTGCGCAGTCCTCTGCTTGATAAAGGAGCCCAGGAAGCCGGTTAAGGTACGGACCTCCTGTGCACCGATTCCACATTCGCACGCACACACGCACACGCGCAGACACACACGCACAAACACAGACACGCACGCACACACAGGCACGCACACACAGGCACGCACACACGCACGCACACACGCACACGCACACAGACACGCACAAACACAGGCAAACACGCGCGCACGCACACGCGCACAGCCTTAATACCAAAAAAAGTGCGGTTAGCGAGCGCCTGATATTTTTTCAGCTGGCAGGTGAATATTATCGTTCAAATCGATTTGGATCACACAAAGCGGCAATCATTGTCCCTCTCCGGCACACCGGTAAGCGCTGACGTAGTAACTTTCGTTCACGTGACACAACCACCGAACTGATGGGTTGTGTCAGGTGGTGGTCGTGGTGATGGGTTAACGACACAACATTGTACATTCATACGCGATCTAAGTCCATAAACGAACTTTTATTGTGAAGACCATTTTTTTTCCAGACAGCTGCCCCCTTTGAAAATGCGTTGATGTGAGATGTTAAAGCACTCCGACAGACTCAGAATAGAAATATATTTTTTAAAATCGGATGAGCTATGAAGCTCTTTCCCCCCATATGTTCAGTGGTTTCGCAGATGTTCAGATACCGTTCAACTATTTTAACTACCATTTTTTTGTTTTGTTTACCAGCTAAGGCCCCAACCGAGCTGTGCGATGTAGGATCTCTTTCAGAAGCGACCTGGCCATCACAAATGATAGCTCTACGAAGTACACTTACTATCATCATCATCATCATGTGTAAAATTTATAGCAACAACCAAATGTTCTCAACGAGTGATCTCGATTCTAAATGTGGAGGGGAAAAAAGGCAGGTGACCCGGAGAGACACGCAAACTCAAAATATACAGCAGGTGTCAGGGTTGGGATCGAACCCACGGCCTCCTGTATACCAGGCGAGGTAGCTAACATCTCCTAGCCACCGTGGGACCCTGGCGATTATGCGGACGCCTCTGTCAAACGCAAACCATCATTAAAGCGTTACAAAGTACACGCCTATGCGATGTTTCCACCTTGTCATATACGGTAAAAAAATAAAAAAATTCCCCGTGTAGCCTTCATCAGACTGTTGGGGCAAGTGCTGTTAGCGAGCAGCACCTATGAAGTCCGGCACGGCGCACGAGGGGGTAGGTGGCCAGCACCACGCCCGGCCGCCTTTGTCTCCCCAGTGGCAATGTTTTACTACACACCGCTACACCAAGTACTCATTTGAGGTTGAGTCGATTGAGGGGAGACCCAGAACCGGTTCAGATAATTGTCACCAGTGTCGGTGGCCGTGAGCGGGAATCGAACTCCATTTCCCGGGTTCGTAGCGCAGCGTAGCGCTATCCACAACAGAGGTGTTTGGGTGAGATTGCGTAAATATATGTCGTTAAACCCGCCACCACCCGACACAGCCAATTAGTAAGCCAACTCTGGCTGTAAGCCTGATGATGCTAGTTTTAATTATTACTGGCAAAATGTCACCGTACTCGAATTGTCAATGTTGTAGTGGGTTTACTCTACAACACACCAAGGCCGTAACTATATTATATATTCCGGGGGACACATACCCCCCAATATTCAAATATGCTCAAAATGTCCCCCCTTATATATTGCTGTAAAATAGATTTCTGTTGATATGATTATGGTTATGGTTGTACTTTATTAATCCCTCATCTCTGCCATTACATACAATGAAACAAGAAAAGGTTAAAAGAAAAAACAGAACAATGTAATACAATACACTATTAGACATTATTGTAAAAAATAAATAAAAAGTCCATCCTATGTTTGAGTGAATTTTGTAATATTTTAGGCAGGAAATTCGTTTTTAAATTTAGATTTTTTTTTCTGGGTGGGATCCCCACACCCCCTGGAAGATTTGGTCACCCCCAATGTTCACTCCATGGCTACGGCCTTGCAACACACAACCAGTCAGTGCTGTACTAGTAACGAATTGGCACGTTTCGTTTACGTGAAAAACCCCGCACTTAATTATCTGCGTCGGGTGGTGGTGGCAGGTTTCACGACACATCCATATTTACGCGATCTAACCCCTAAAACAACTCCACTACGGATAATATTGGTCGCAAAAGCACCACTGCATGTTGAAACAGCGTAGCGATAACCGTGACCACACCACCGCTCCCCATTTACGGTATAAACGTGCATGCAGACATGCGATGTCGCACTTTTGACAGGGGGGAATGCTTTTTTTGCTTTTACAGGAGAAAGATTCGAAAGAAGCCAAAATGGGAGAAAACCACGAGTCGAGGTAATTAGCGTTACCCAGTCGCTGATCTCAAGGAGCGATAAACCATCTTCATCGCGCGAAGTCTGTGGTCGCCATCGCAGCAACAGTAGCAGCGGCGGCTTTTGGCTAAACCGTCGAACAAAGACGGTGGTCACCACATCATCGCGTTGCACACACAAGGCGGCTTGTGTTGTGGCCGAAACGTCGTGAGAATATTATTGTGTTATTTTATTTTATACATTTATTATTTTATTCTCATTCTACATGGTGACTTTACCGAAAGAACCAAAGAAGATGAATCCTTGCAGTCACGAAAGCTTTAAATCGAAATTACCCATAGACTCAACACTACCCATAGACTCAACACTACCCATCGACTCAACACTGTCCATAGAATGAGAATAAAATAATAAATTAATAAAATAAAATAACACAATAAAATTATCACGACGTTTCGGCCACAACACAAGTGGCCTTCTTCAGGTGAAAGGAACAGACCTGTCGGGACGACAGAGCTTCAATGAACGTTGTTAAGATTTGTAGCGTCTGTTAAGCTGGTTTAGAGAAGTGAGGCACCTTGACAAAGGGGTTTACATATCAAACAGGAGAATTTAGCATTGATATAGCTGAGTGATTAGCTTGTGACTGGTTATAGAAATAACTATGTTAAAGTCAAAGCCTACACATCCACAGAGGCACCTAGTACAAATCAAAGAGGATAATTTAGCATTGAAATAGCTGAGTGATTAGCTTGTGACTGGTCACAGAAATGGCTATGTTAAAGTCAAAGCCTACACATCCACAGAGGCACTTAGTACAAATCAAACAGGAGAATTTAGCATTGAAATATCTGAGTGATTAGCTTGTGACTGGTCACAGAAATGGCTATGTTAAAGTCAAAGCCTACACATCCACAAAGGCACCTAGTATAAATCAAACAGGAGAATTTAGCATTGAAATAACTGAGGGATTAGCTTGTGACTGGTCATAGAAATTGCTATGTTAAAGTCAAAGCCTACACATCCACAGAGGCACCTAGTACAAATCAAACAGGAGAATTTAGCATTGAAATAGCTGAGTGATTAGCTTGTGACTGGTCACAGAAATGGCTATGTTAAAGTCAAAGCCTACACATCCACAGAGGCACCTAGTATAAATCAAACAGGAGAATTTAGCATTGAAATAACTGAGGGATTAGCTTGTGACTGGTCACAGAAATGGCTATGTTAAAGTCAAAGCCTACACATCCACAGAGGCACCTAGTATAAATCAAACAGGAGAATTTAGCATTGAAATAACTGAGGGATTAGCTTGTGACTGGTCACAGAAATGGCTATGTTAAAGTCAAAGCCTACACATCCACAGAGGCACCTAGTATAAATCAAACAGGAGAATTTAGCATTGAAATAACTGAGGGATTAGCTTGTGACTGGTCACAGAAATGGCTATGTTAAAGTCAAAGCCTACACATCTACAGAGGCACCTAGTACAAATCAAACAGGAGAATTTAGCATTGAAATACCTGAGGGATTAGCTTGTGACTGGTCATAGAAATAGCTATGTTAAAGTCAAAGCCTACACATCTACAGAGGCACCTAGTACATGGACGCCAAAGGGGCTGCAACAACTCGACTATCATATAGTAAACCGATGTGAAAAAAACCTAAGTCTAAATTACATCAATATAATAAATGTACTCAATATATTCTTCAATAAGCTGAGCTATTCACAGTAACTGGGTATACACTACACTATATAATGAATACCATATAGTAAACCAATAAAAAATAAAATATAAACTACATCAATGTTATCAATAAACTCTATATATTCTCCAATCAGCTAAGCTACCAACAATAAGTCGTTATATATCACAATGCTATATGGCGAAAAAAATGGGTGGATTCTTACCCTCAACTTCAGCACCACGGATAGCTACGAGCCCCGTTCAGACGGATGAGTTCATCCATGGTCGGAACGGAGGAGGGGGAGAGAGACAGCTGCGAGGCGCTGTTATACTCCATGTTGTAAACCATACCATTAACCGTGGTGTGAGAGGTATTAAGAGTCAATGCCGGCGAAAGAGCTGCGGTCTGAAGGTCATCGTAAAATACAATTAATTAAGAACGGAAATGGTTTAAAACATCTTTCCAATGGTTACTAAGCCAGAATCCATCTTCTCGGTTGAAATTGTCTCTGTGCTTGTATATGTGAATGGCCTCATGAACGAATCTCTCATGGTAGCCGGTTGGTTTGCAAAGAACCTCCGTCTTGGAGAAGTCAATGTCATGTGACGTTACAAATCTTAAGAACGTTCATTGAAGCTCTGTCGTCCCGACAGGTCTGTTCCTTTCACCTGAAGAAGGCCACTTGTGTTGTGGCCGAAACGTCGTGAGAATTTTATTGTGTTATTTTATTTTATTAATTTATTATTTTATTCCCATTCTACGTGACTTTACCGAAAGAACCAAAGAAGATAAATCCTTGCAGTCACGAAAGCTTTAAATCGAAACTGCCCATAGACTCAACACTGCACCATAGACTCAACACTACCCATAGACTCAACACTGCCCATAGACTCAACACTGCCCCATAGACTCAACACTGCCCATAGACTCAACACTGCCCATAGACTCAACACTGCCCCTTAGACTCAACACTGCCCCATAGACTCAACACTGCCCATAGACTCAACACTGCCCATAGACTCAACACTGCCCCATAGACTCAACACTGCCCATAGACTCAACACTACCCATAGACTCAACACTACCCATAGACTCAACACTGCACCATAGACTCAACACTACCCATAGACTCAACACTGTCCATAGACTCAACACTGCCCCATAGATTCAACACTGCCCATAGACTCAACACTGCCCATAGACTCAACACTGCCCCATAGACTCAACACTGCACCATAGACTCAACACTACCCATAGACTCAACACTTCCCATAGACTCAACACTGCCCCATAGACTCAACACTGCCCATAGACTCAACACTGCCCATAGACTCAACACTGTCCCATAGACTCAACACTGCCCATAGACTCAACACTGCCCATAGACTCAACACTGCCCATAGACTCAACACTGCCCATAGACTCAACACTGCCCATAGACTCAACACTGCCCCATAGACTCAACACTGCCAATAAACTCAACACTGCCCATAGACTCAACACTACCCATAGACTCAACACTACCCATAGACTCAACACTGCCCCATAGACTCAACACTGCCCCATAGACTCAACACTGCCCATAGACTCAACACTGCCCCATAGACTCAACACTGCCCATAGACTCAACACTGCCCATAGACTCAACACTGCCCCATAGACTCAACACTGCCCATAGACTCAACACTGCCCATAGACTCAACATTGCCCATAGACTCAACACTACCCATAGACTCAACACTACCCATAGACTCAACACTACCCATAGACTCAACACTACTCATAGACTCAACACTGCACCATAGACTCAACACTGCACCATAGACTCAACACTACCCATAGACCCAACACTGCCCATAAACTCAACACTACCCATAGACTCAACACTACCCATAGACTCAACACTGCCCATTGACTCAACACTGCCCATAGACTCAACACTACCCATAGACCCAACACTGCCCATAGACTCAACACTGCCCATAGACTCAACACTACCCATAGACCCAACACTGCCCATAGACTCAACACTACCCATAGACTCAACACTGCCCATAGACTCAACACTGCCCCATAGACTCAACACTGCCCATAGACTCAACACTGGCCATAGACTCAACACTGCCCGTAGACTCAACACTGCCCATAGACTCAACACTGCCCCATAGACTCAACACTGCCCATAGACTCAACACTACCCATAAACTCAACACTACCCATAGACTCAACACTACCCATAGACTCGACACTACCCATAGACTCAACACTGCCCCATAGACTCAACACTACCCATAGACTCAACACTGCCCATAGACTCAACACTGCCCATAGACTCAACACTGCCCATAGACCCAACACTGCCCATAGACCCAACACTGCCCATAGACCCAACACTACCCATAGACTCAACACTACCCATAAACTCAACACTACCCATAGACTCAACACTACCCATAGACTCGACACTACCCATAGACTCAACACTGCCCCATAGACTCAACACTACCCATAGACTCAACACTGCCCATAGACCCAACACTACCTATGGACCCAACACTACCCATAGACCCAACACTACCCATAGACCCAACACTACCCATAGACCCAACACTACCCATAGACCCAACACTACCCATAGACCCAACACTACCCATAGACCCAACACTACCCATAGACCCAACACTACCCATAGACCCAACACTACCCATGGACCCAACACTACCCATGGACCCAACACTACCCATAGACTCAACACTACCCATAGACTCAACACTGCCCATAGACTCAACACTGCCTATAGACCCAACACTACCCATAGACTCAACACTACCCATAGACTCAACACTGCCCATAGACTCAACACTGCACCATAGACTCAACACTACCCATAGACTCAACACTGCCCCATAGACCCAACACTGCCCATAGACTCAACACTGCACCATAGACTCAACACTGCACCATAGACTCAACACTGCATCATAGACTCAACACTGCCCATAGACCCAACACTGCACCATAGACTCAACACTACCCATAGACTCAACACTACCCCATAGACTCAACACTACCCATAGACTCAACACTACCCCATAGACTCAACACTACCCCATAGACTCAACACTACCCATAGACTCAACACTACCCCATAGACTCAACACTGCCCATAGACTCAACACTGCCCTATAGACTCACCACTGCCCATAGACTCAACACTGCCCATAGACTCAACACTGCCCCATAGACCCAACACTGCCCCATAGACCCAACACTGCCCATAGACTCAACACTGCCCATAGACCCAACACTACCCACAGACTCAAGACTGCACCATAGACCCAACACTGCCCATAGACTCAACACTGCCCATAGACTCAACACTGCCCATAGACTCAACACTGCCCCATAGACTCAACACTGCACCATAGACCCAACACTGCCCCATAGACTCAGCACTGCCACCCATAGACTCAGCACTGCCCATAGACTCAACACTGCCCATAGACTCAACACTGCCCATAGACTCAACACTGCCCCATAGACTCAACACTACCCATAGACTCGACACTACCCATAGACTCAACACTACCCATAGACTCAACACTACCCATAGACTCAACACTACCCATAGACTCAACACTGCCCCATAGACTCAACACTACCCATAGACTCAACACTGCCCATAAACTCAACACTGCCCATAGACTCAACACTGCACCATAGACTCAACACTGCCCCATAGACTCAACACTACCCATAGACTCAACACTGCCCCATAGACTCAACACTGCCCCATAGACTCAACACTGCCCATAGACTCAACACTACCCATAGACTCAACACTGCACCATAGACCCAACACTACCCATAGACTCAACACTGCCCATAGACTCAACACTGCCCCATAGACTCAACACTGCACCATAGACTCAACACTGCCCATTGCGTTGTCCTGCAGCACAGAGAGACTCCGTCACGGCCTGTGTTGCCGTGGTCAACTCTCGCGATGGTAAAAATCTTTCTCTCATCTCTCACCCCTCCCTCTCCAGCGTGACCAATGTGCCTCAACCCTCCAAAAGGTGAGCGTCTACTGGAGTCGCCCTCCTCCCCGAAACTCACTTTTTACCACTTAGCTGTTGAGGCCGCCGCAGTGGCTAGGAGATGTCAACTACCTCGCCCGGTATACAGGAGGTTCTTGGGTGCGATCCTGACCCCGACGATGCCTGCTGTATATTTAGAGTTTCCGTGTCTCTCTCTCTTTCATCATCATACCAGGCGAGGTAGTTAACATTTCCTAGCCACCGTGTTAACTACCTCGCCTGGTATACAGGAGGTCGAAGGTTCGATCCCGACTCTGACGATGCCTGCTGTTGTTTATTTGGAGTTTTTGTGTGTGTCTCTCTTTCTCTCCCCGTGGTCGTGTGGATCTTTCTCCAGGTCCCCCGGTTTTTCCCCTCCACGTTTAGAATCGACGTCATGCGTTCAGTGTAATTGGCTCCACATCTCCACGTGGTGATGATGATGATGACGATGATTTTAAGCCGCCACTTCGTTGAGCGATCATTTGTGATAGCCAGCGTCATCTCTGAAAAAAAGAGCTACACAGCTGGTCAAATCAAATAGTTTTAGTTTATGGCCCAGTAGAGGAGGAGGAGGAGGAGTTAGAGGGCCTTGCATGTTGGTCCGTTCTTTCCGATCTCCACATTAACTCTTCTCACGCTTTGGGCTCTTCCCCTTCACGCTCGGCCAACTTCACCGTTCACTCCACCTCTCTCGTTTCTCGCGCAGTCTCCCTCGTTCTCCTATAACGCGGCGGCGGTGAAGGCTGTCGCGTTCCTGAAGAATACTGCGTTATGGAAAATCGCTTTATAATTAATAATACCTCCTGTAATCACCCAGGAACGTCTGTCCTTAACGCTCGTGACGCCACTCCACATCGAACAGACCCCCTCATTAATATTCATGAGCAGGTGACGTCCTCCAAATGGGCACCCCTCCCATTATTATTACTACCTACTATGAGCCAAGAATGCCTGTGACGTCACTCCATGTCGACGACCAGCGCCCCCCCCCTCATTAATAATAATGAACAGGTGATGTCACTCCTCATCGAACAGACCCCCTCATTAATAATCATGAACAGGTGACGTCACTCCTCATCGAACAGACCCCCTCATTAATAATCATGAACAGGTGACGTCACTCCTCATCGAACAGACCCCCTCATTAATAATCATAAGTGGACGTCCTCCAAATAGACACCCCCCCCTCATTAATAATCATGAGCAGCTGACGTCACTCCACATGGGGGGGGGGGGCAGAGGCGCCTCCTCCCCCCCTCCTCGGCGTCAACTCCCAACCCTCACTACAAAGGCAGAACCCTCATCACGTCACGTGGTCTCCGTAACGCTACTGAGACATCAAAGTAAAAAGGACGTCGTGATGAACAAGGGATTATAACCTTATTAAAATGAAACAGGTCCGTGTCACAGCGCCCTTACAAAGTGCACACGCACTAATGCAGTGAATATCACGTCGCGGTCTGCTTTACGCTTGCAAGTTTCAGATATACTGCAATACACACGTCCTTGGACGGGTTTATAGAATAGGAGGGTAAAGCACAGTCCGCGATAACGCCGTCGGATGCATAACGCAGGGCTGAACAAAGACTGAGGGGCGTGGGTAGCATCTAGAAGCATCCAGCAGCATCCCAATGCCTCCTTGCGCGATGTCGATGATGACGATGACGATGCTGTGCCGAGGCAGCCGCTGTACGACAACTTCATTCCTACTCGCGCGATGTGGTTCAGTTCTCTAGGTCACGTTATATTCAATTCGCGTTGTGAAAACTACACGCGGCGTTAGAGGAAAACGGACGGTAGCTTACACTCGTCTATAAATCTCTGCATGGCCTTGCCCCAACCTCATTGTGCCTCCCTCATCTCCTCCCATGTCCCCACCTCTCCTCCACTTTGTTCCCAATCCTCTTTTTGTCTGTCTCTGTTCCTCCTTCTCCCCTGGTGCCCAATCCCATTGTCAATCCTTCTCCCTCCTAGCACTCCACCACTGGAATCAACTTCCCCTGTACACTGAGCAACACTGCCCGTGGACTCAGCACTGCCCATAGACTCAACACTACCCACAGACTCAGCACTGCCCATAGACTCAGCACTGCCCATAGACTCAACACTACCCATAGACTCAACATTACCCATCAACTCAACACTGCACCATAGACTCAACACTACCCATAGACTCAACACAACCCATAGACTCAACACTACCCATAGACTCAACACTACCCATAGACTCAACACTGCCCATAGACTCAACACTACCCATAGACTCAACACTGCCCATAGACTCAACACTGCCCATAGACTCAACACTGCCCATAGACTCAGCACTGCCCATAGACTCAGCACTGCACCATAGACTCAACACTGTCCATAGACTCAACACTGCACCATAGACTCAACACTGTCCATAGACTCAACACTGCCCATAGACTCAACACTCCCCATAGACTCAACACTGCACCATAGACTCAACACTGCCCATTGCGTTGTCCTGCAGCACAGAGAGACTCCGTCACGGCCTGTGTTGCCGTGGTCAACTCTCGCGATGGTAAAAATCTTTCTCTCATCTCTCACCCCTCCCTCTCCAGCGTGACCAATGTGCCTCAACCCTCCAAAAGGTGAGCGTCTACTGGAGTCGCCCTCCTCCCCGAAACTCACTTTTTACCACTTAGCTGTTGAGGCCGCCGCAGTGGCTAGGAGATGTCAACTACCTCGCCCGGTATACAGGAGGTTCTTGGGTGCGATCCTGACCCCGACGATGCCTGCTGTATATTTAGAGTTTCCGTGTCTCTCTCTCTTTCATCATCATACCAGGCGAGGTAGTTAACATTTCCTAGCCACCGTGTTAACTACCTCGCCTGGTATACAGGAGGTCGAAGGTTCGATCCCGACTCTGACGATGCCTGCTGTTGTTTATTTGGAGTTTTTGTGTGTGTCTCTCTTTCTCTCCCCGTGGTCGTGTGGATCTTTCTCCAGGTCCCCCGGTTTTTCCCCTCCACGTTTAGAATCGACGTCATGCGTTCAGTGTAATTGGCTCCACATCTCCACGTGGTGATGATGATGATGACGATGATTTTAAGCCGCCACTTCGTTGAGCGATCATTTGTGATAGCCAGCGTCATCTCTGAAAAAAAGAGCTACACAGCTGGTCAAATCAAATAGTTTTAGTTTATGGCCCAGTAGAGGAGGAGGAGGAGGAGTTAGAGGGCCTTGCATGTTGGTCCGTTCTTTCCGATCTCCACATTAACTCTTCTCACGCTTTGGGCTCTTCCCCTTCACGCTCGGCCAACTTCACCGTTCACTCCACCTCTCTCGTTTCTCGCGCAGTCTCCCTCGTTCTCCTATAACGCGGCGGCGGTGAAGGCTGTCGCGTTCCTGAAGAATACTGCGTTATGGAAAATCGCTTTATAATTAATAATACCTCCTGTAATCACCCAGGAACGTCTGTCCTTAACGCTCGTGACGCCACTCCACATCGAACAGACCCCCTCATTAATATTCATGAGCAGGTGACGTCCTCCAAATGGGCACCCCTCCCATTATTATTACTACCTACTATGAGCCAAGAATGCCTGTGACGTCACTCCATGTCGACGACCAGCGCCCCCCCCTCATTAATAATAATGAACAGGTGATGTCACTCCTCATCGAACAGACCCCCTCATTAATAATCATGAACAGGTGACGTCACTCCTCATCGAACAGACCCCCTCATTAATAATCATGAACAGGTGACGTCACTCCTCATCGAACAGACCCCCTCATTAATAATCATAAGTGGACGTCCTCCAAATAGACACCCCCCCCTCATTAATAATCATGAGCAGCTGACGTCACTCCACATGGGGGGGGGGGGCAGAGGCGCCTCCTCCCCCCCTCCTCGGCGTCAACTCCCAACCCTCACTACAAAGGCAGAACCCTCATCACGTCACGTGGTCTCCGTAACGCTACTGAGACATCAAAGTAAAAAGGACGTCGTGATGAACAAGGGATTATAACCTTATTAAAATGAAACAGGTCCGTGTCACAGCGCCCTTACAAAGTGCACACGGGCTAATGCAGTGAATATCACGTCGCGGTCTGCTTTACGCTTGCAAGTTTCAGATATACTGCAATACACACGTCCTTGGACGGGTTTATAGAATAGGAGGGTAAAGCACAGTCCGCGATAACGCCGTCGGATGCATAACGCAGGGCTGAACAAAGACTGAGGGGCGTGGGTAGCATCTAGAAGCATCCAGCAGCATCCCAATGCCTCCTTGCGCGATGTCGATGATGACGATGACGATGCTGTGCCGAGGCAGCCGCTGTACGACAACTTCATTCCTACTCGCGCGATGTGGTTCAGTTCTCTAGGTCACGTTATATTCAATTCGCGTTGTGAAAACTACACGCGGCGTTAGAGGAAAACGGACGGTAGCTTACACTCGTCTATAAATCTCTGCATGGCCTTGCCCCAACCTCATTGTGCCTCCCTCATCTCCTCCCATGTCCCCACCTCTCCTCCACTTTGTTCCCAATCCTCTTTTTGTCTGTCTCTGTTCCTCCTTCTCCCCTGGTGCCCAATCCCGTTGTCAATCCTTCTCCCTCCTAGCACTCCACCACTGGAATCAACTTCCCCTGTACACTGAGCAACACTGTCCGTGGACTCAGCACTGCCCATAGACTCAACACTGCCCATAGACTCAGCACTGCCCATAGACTCAGCACTGCCCATAGACTCAACACTACCCATAGACTCAACATTACCCATCAACTCAACACTGCACCATAGACTCAACACTACCCATAGACTCAACACAACCCATAGACTCAACACTACCCATAGACTCAACACTACCCATAGACTCAACACTGCCCATAGACTCAACACTGCCCATAGACTCAACACTGCCCATAGACTCAACACTGCCCATAGACTCAGCACTGCCCATAGACTCAGCACTGCACCATAGACTCAACACTGTCCATAGACTCAACACTGCACCATAGACTCAACACTGTCCATAGACTCAACACTGCCCATAGACTCAACACTCCCCATAGACTCAACACTGCCCATAGACTCAACACTACCCATAGACTCAACACTGCCCATAGACTCAACACTGCCCATAGACTCAGCACTGCCCATAGACTCAACACTACCCACAGACTCAACGAACACTGCGGCTAAGTTGGCTCAACGTTGAACCCAACGTTCGCCCAACGTTTTTGCCGAGCACGTGGCTGTCGTTCACCTGACCCCCCCCCCACCGCGCCCCCCTCCCTTGTTGCCGTGCTCCGGCCTCGTGGTGGTCCCGCAGGTTGAACCGCGACGCCGCGGTCCGGCCACGCCGAGCGGCGATGCCGGAGTAGTCGCCGGGCTCCTCCCCACGCTGCCGCCGCCGCTGCCACCGCCGGCAGGTAGCAGCGCACGCGTGGTGTGTGCACGTGGTGTGAGCACGTGGTGTGAGCACGTGGTGTGCGCGCGTGGTGTGCGCGTGTGGTGTGTGCACGTGGTGTGAGCACGTGGTGTGAGCACGTGGTGTGCGCGCGTGGTGTGCGCGCCCGCGTGGTGTGCGCGCGCGTGGTGTGTGCACGTGGTGTGCGCGTGTGGTGTGCGCGCGTGGTGTGTGCACGTACCCGATGATCATAGGGGCCCGTTCATAAATGACGTCACGCGATTTTGGACGATTTTTGTCACACGGCGTCAGAAAAAGTCAGACCCCCCCCCCTTAAATATGACGTCACAAAGCTCTGCGCCCCCCTCCCCCCCCCAAAAAAATATAAAACATGCTTCAAAAAGACAGCGTCCTGTCTTTCCGACAGCTCTGTTCTTCACCTGAGGACGGCTGCTTGTGTTGTGGCCGAAACGTCGTGAGAATTTAGATGTTTCATTCGTATTATTTTATTGTTTCCCTTCTACGTGTTGGTGACTTTACCGAAAGAACCAAGAATAATAATTTTATTGTTTTATAATAATTTAATTGTTTTATATTTTTTTTATTTTAATGTTTCCCTTCTACGTGGTGGTGACTTTACCGAAAGAACCAAGAATAATAATTTTATTGTTTTACAATAATTTAATTGTTTTATATTTTTATTATTTTATTGTTTCCCTTCTACGTGGTGGTGACTTTACCGAAAGATCCAAGAATAATAATTTTATTGTTTTACAATAATTTTATTGTTTTATATTTTTATTATTTTATTGTTTCCCTTCTACGTGGTGGTGACTTTACCGAAAGATCCAAGAATATGAATCCCTGCAGTCACGAAAGGCTTTCAATCGAGACATAGAACGGTGTTGTCTACATTTATTTAAAAGTTGCGCTTTTTTGATGTGACGTCACATTTCTCAACCCCCCCCCCCCTCGTCACACATCGTCACAAATGTCTGACCCCCCCTCCCCCCTAGGTGCGTGACGTCATTTATGGACGACCCCATAGTAGCAAAAGTAGCTACATATGGGACCCGCACATTCAAGGGCCCCACGCTAAATGCTTCTTTCAATCTATCAATTCCGGTTCAGTGATTCTGCACTTGCTCAACTACTATAGTACTATACTGCCTTCAACTTTTTAAGAACGACTGGGTGTTTAAGCGTAGGGATTTGTCGTAGTATCTGGCTGTATAGCAAATTTTAAAAAAATACAATTACTTTACTATGCAAGTAAAAAGTTTGTGTTTTAATATTAACGTGGTTTTACTAAAATGTGGGCCCCGTTATAACGTATGCTACAGGCCCTACACTAGCTTCATCCGGCACCGCGTATACGTACGTGTGTGTGTGTGTGTACGTTGAAATTCTTTCGCACCACCGTACGTAGCCAATCGTGCTAAACGGAGGTGCGGCGGGGAGGGGGGAAGGACAACAAACTACACACAACGGGCAGTTATAAATAAATTAGTTTTTAATTCAGTATATTAGTGTAGTGTATAGTAGTGTAAGTTTAAAGTTTCATTTATTAGGTATACCCCTGTGAGCCATGCGGCTCTTAAGTCGGGTGCGACCGCAACAAACAAAATTTGAACACAGAACATCTTAAAGCGACAACGCGTAACAGAAACATCCTGGATAAACCAGCAAATATTCCACACACACAAAAAAAACTTATTAAAACGCTGTGTGCAAAAATCACAAATGTGGTGCAAGCCAACAACAACAACCATGAGACAATTTAGATTAACCATGTTTTAGAATCACCAAAATAAAGCTATAAAAACAATGTAACAACAGTAATCATAGGAACTGTGATTTTAAATTTAACAATAAACGCTATAAATAACACGTACGACAACACCTGCAGCCATAGCTGGCAGCACGACACTCCCAGTGTATGATGTGTGAGCGAGTCAGCAGCAGCGTGAGTGAGTGTATGATGTGCGAGTCAGTATATGATGTGCGAGTGAGTCGGCGCATGAAGTGTGATTGAGTGTATTTGTGAGTCAGTGTATGATGTGTGAGTGAGTCAGTGTATGATGTATGAGAAAGTCAGTGTATGATGTGTGAGTGAGTCAGTGTATGATGTGTGAGAAGTCAGTGTATGATGTGTGAGTGAGTCAGTGTATGATGTGTGAGTGAGTCAGTGTATGATGTGTGAGAAAGTCAGTGTATGATGTGTGAGTGGGTGAGTGAGTCAGTGTATGATGTGTGAGTGAGTCAGTGTATGATGTGTGAGTGAGTCAGTGTATGATGTGTGAGTGAGTCAGTGTATGATGTGTGAGTGAGTCAGTGTATGATGTGTAAGTGAGTCAGTGTATGATGTGTGAGAAAGTCAGTGTATGATGCGTGAGTGAGTCAGTGTATGATGTGTGAGCGAGTCAGTGTATGATGTGTGTGCGAGTCAGTGTATGATGTGTGAGTGAGTCAGTGTATGATGTGTGAGTGAGTCAGTGTATGATGTGTGAGTGAGTCAGTGTATGATGTGTGAGTGAGTCAGTGTATGATGTGTGAGCGAGTCAGTGCATGATGTGTGAGTGAGTCAGTGTATGATGTGTGAGTGAGTCAGTGTATGGTGTGAGTGAGTCAGTGTATGATGTGCGAGTGAGTCAGTGTATGATGTGTGAGTGAGTCAGTGTATGATGTGTGAGTGAGTCAGTGTATGGTGTGAGTGAGTCAGTGTATGATGTGCGAGTGAGTCAGTGTATGATGTGTGAGTGAGTCAGTGTATGATGTGTGAGTGAGTCAGTGTATGATGTGTGAGAAAGTCAGTGTATGATGTGTGAGTGAGTCAGTGTATGATGTGTGAGTGAGTCAGTGTATGATGTGTGAGTGAGTCAGTGTATCATGTGTGAGTGAGTCAGTGTATGATTTGTGAGTGAGTCAGTGTATGATGTGTGAGAAAGTCAGTGTATGATGTGTGAGTGAGTCAGTGTATGATGTGTGAGTGAGTCAGTGTATGATGTGTGAGTGAGTCAGTGTATCATGTGTGAGTGAGTCAGTGTATGATTTGTGAGTGAGTCAGTGTATGATGTGTGAGCGAGTCAGTGTATGATGTGTGAGTGAGTGTATGATGTGTGAGTGAGTCAGTGTATGATGTGTGAGTGAGTCAGTGCATGATGTGTGAGTGAGTCAGTGTATGATGTGTGAGTGAGTCAGTGTATAGTGTGAGTGAGTCAGTGTATGATGTGCGAGTGAGTCAGTGTATGATGTGTGAGTGAGTAAGTGTATGATGTGCGAGTGAGTCAGTGTATGATGTGTGAGAAAGTCAGTGTATGATGTGTGAGTGAGTCAGTGTATGATGTGTGAGTGAGTCAGTGTATGATGTGTGAGTGAGTCAGTGTATCATGTGTGAGTGAGTCAGTGTATGATGTGTGAGTGAGTCAGTGTATGATGTGTGAGCGAGTCAGTGTATGATGTGTGAGTGAGTGTATGATGTGTGAGTGAGTCAGTGTATGATGTGTGAGTGAGTCAGTGCATGATGTATGAGTGAGTCAGTGTATGATGTGTGAGTGAGTCAGTGTATAGTGTGAGTGAGTCAGTGTATGATGTGCGAGTGAGTCAGTGTATGATGTGTGAGTGAGTAAGTGTATGATGTGCGAGTGAGTCAGTGTATGATGTGTGAGAAAGTCAGTGTATGATGTGTGAGTGAGTCAGTGTATGATGTGTGAGAAAGTCACTGTATGATGTGTGAGTGAGTCAGTGTATGATGTGTGAGTGAGTCAGTGTATGATGTGTGAGTGAGTCAGTGTATGATGTGTGAGTCAGTGTATGATGTGTGAGTGAGTCAGTGTATGATCTGTGAGTGAGTCAGTGTATGATGTGTGAGTGAGTCAGTGTATGATGTGTGAGTCAGTGTATGATGTGTGAGTGAGTCAGTGTATGATGTGTGAGTGAGTCAGTGTATGATGTGTGAGTGAGTCAGTGTATGATGTGTGAGTGAGTCAGTGTATGATGTGTGAGTGAGTCAGTGTATGATCTGTGAGTGAGTCAGTGTATGATGTGTGAGTGAGTAAGTGTATGATGTGCGAGTGAGTCAGTGTATGATGTGTGAGAAAGTCAGTGTATGATGTGTGAGTGAGTCAGTGTATGATGTGTGAGTGAGTCAGTGTATGATGTGTGAGTGAGTCAGTGTATCATGTGTGAGTGAGTCAGTGTATGATGTGTGAGTGAGTCAGTGTATGATGTGTGAGCGAGTCAGTGTATGATGTGTGAGTGAGTGTATGATGTGTGAGTGAGTCAGTGTATGATGTGTGAGTGAGTCAGTGCATGATGTATGAGTGAGTCAGTGTATGATGTGTGAGTGAGTCAGTGTATAGTGTGAGTGAGTCAGTGTATGATGTGCGAGTGAGTCAGTGTATGATGTGTGAGTGAGTAAGTGTATGATGTGCGAGTGAGTCAGTGTATGATGTGTGAGAAAGTCAGTGTATGATGTGTGAGTGAGTCAGTGTATGATGTGTGAGAAAGTCACTGTATGATGTGTGAGTGAGTCAGTGTATGATGTGTGAGTGAGTCAGTGTATGATGTGTGAGTGAGTCAGTGTATGATGTGTGAGTCAGTGTATGATGTGTGAGTGAGTCAGTGTATGATCTGTGAGTGAGTCAGTGTATGATGTGTGAGTGAGTCAGTGTATGATGTGTGAGTCAGTGTATGATGTGTGAGTGAGTCAGTGTATGATGTGTGAGTGAGTCAGTGTATGATGTGTGAGTGAGTCAGTGTATGATGTGTGAGTGAGTCAGTGTATGATGTGTGAGTGAGTCAGTGTATGATCTGTGAGTGAGTCAGTGTATGATGTGTGAGTGAGTCAGTGTATGATGTGTGAGTCAGTGTATGATGTGTGAGTGAGTCAGTGTATGATGTGTGAGTGAGTCAGTGCATGGTGTGTGAGTGAGTCAGTGTATGATGTGTGAGTGAGTCAGTGCATGGTGTGTGAGTGAGTCAGTGTATGATGTGTGAGTGAGTCAGTGCATGATGTGTGAGTGAGTCAGTGTATGATGTGTGAGTGAGTCAGTGCATGATGTGTGAGTGAGTCAGTGTATGATGTGTAAGTGAGTCAGTGCATGATGTGTGAGTGAGTCAGTGTATGATGTGTGAGTGAGTCAGTGTCGGCTCCCTCTGCTCGAGCCGTCGCGCCCCCCCCCCTCCCCCCAGTAATGTGTAGTGTAGTGTGTAGTGTAATGTGTAGTGTAGTGTATAGTGTAGTGTATAGTAGTGTAATGTGTAGTGTAGTGTATAGTGTAGTGTATAGTAGTGGAATGTGTAGTGTAGTGTATAGTGTAGTGTATAGTAGTGTAATGTGTAGTGTAGTGTATAGTGTAGTGTATAGTAGTGGAATGTGTAGTGTAGTGTGGAGTGTATAGTGTAGTGTATAGTAGTGTAATGTGTAGTGTAGTGTAATGTGTAGTGTAGTGTGTAGTGTATAGTGTAGTGTATCGTAGTGTAATGTGTAGTGTAGTGTAATGTGTAGTGTAGTGTGTAGTGTATAGTGTAACGTGTAGTGTAATGTGTAGTGTAGTGTAATGTGTAGTGTAGTGTGTAGTGTAATGTGTAGTGTATAGTAGTGTAATGTGTAGTGTGTAGTGTATAGTGTAATGTATAGTGGTGTAATGTGTAGTGTAGTGTGTAGTGTATAGTGTAATGTATAGTGTATAGTAGTGTAATGTGTAGTGTGTAGTGTAATTTGTAGTGTAGTGTGTAGTGTATAGTGTAACGTGTAGTGTATAGTAGTGTAATGTGTAGTGTAGTGTATAGTGTAATGTGTAGTGTATAGTAGTGTAATGTGTAGTGTATAGTAGTGTAATGTGTAGTGTAGTGTATAGTGTAGTGTGTAGTGTAATGTGTAGTGTAGTGTGTAGTGTAGTGCGTAGTAGTGTATAGTGTAACGTATAGTGTAGTCCACCACCGCACTGCTGGCTCCCTGCCACCAAAATGCTCACCCCTTGCCGTTCCCCTTGGCTTGCATGGCGCGTCGTGATCAGCGAGCAGGAGGCGGGTGAGAAGGAGGAGGATGAGGAGTAAGGGAGTCGCTCGCCCTCTCTCGTGATCAGCAGGGACGACGAGGATGGAGTCTTTTGTCGAACAGCAGCACCCGGCGCTGTGAAATCTTCTCCTTTCAAAATCGCCGTCTCTTACCCCCCCCACCCCCGTGTATTACTCCTTCACGATTCCTGAGCATACACTCACACACACACACGCTGCGCACACAAATACAAAGGTCCCCCGTATAGCCTGGAACAGACGGTTGGGGCAAGTGCTGTTGGAAGCGAGAAGCTGCAGCGGCTATGAAGGGCATGGCACTGTGGCGCAGCTACGCCCGGCCGCCTTTATCTCCCCAGTGGCGATGTTTACCACACACCGCACCAGGCACTCATTTGAGGCTGAGTCGACCTAAGGGAGGCCCAGCACCGCTTCTGATAATCGTCACCGGTGTTGGCCGTGAGCGAGAATTAAGCTCGGGCTCGCCGGGCTCATAGCGCAGCGCGAGCCGCTACACCACTACCGCTCCCCGCACACGCACACATTATACATATACACAAACGTATAATCACCAAATTCAAATAAAATTGAGTGCAAATGAAACGCGCGTTTGTTTGCACGTTCACCATAAGTGTGTGGTTAATGCAGACTTGACTGCCTTGCAATAGGCGTGCGGCTATTTGGTGTTTGAACATCTCAACACGATTCTAGATTCGTAAGCTTTCGTGACTGCAAGGATCCATGCTCTTTGGTATGGCCGTGGGCTGAGCTTGGCTCTGTTTCACTCCAGCGCAGTCTTCGAGACAGTCTGGAACCTTCACCTGATGAAGGCCGCTTGTGTTGTGGCCGAAACGTCGTGATTTTTGTTGTTTTATTTTTTACCTACGTGACTTTACCGAATAGAACCAAAGAGTATCTCAACACAACTGTTTTATCGCCAGAAAGGGTAACACCACCACCCCTTGTTGCTGTCTTTTATACTGCCAAAAATATCCCCCACGGATGTAGCTGCTCGACCCAAGCGATCCGTGTTCTGATGCTTGCATTGCCCTTGTACTGTTCGCCTTTAGGCGTTGTTCTCTGGTCTAACACTGGTACAGAGACAAGGCCATGAAGAAGGCTGCCGTCTCTGGTGGAGGCCAATCAGTTTCAAAGACAATGCGTTGTGCAGTAAATCATTTCAGAGGCACTGTTAGGAGGCAACAACTTTGATTCTACACTTTACACGACGCCGTAACACACGTGACTAATACGCCCGTCTCTCACTCGTGTTACCCACGTGACGACGAGACACCGATCTCTTTCCTACACGGGATAACTACAACCGGGTCAGAGCAGCCACGCGCTGTCTGACCCACGATGTCAAAGATGGAGACGAAGCATTTCGGTTCCACCTCACCCACGGACAGCCCCGATATGCGATCGGGACTCCCCTTTTATCCCTCCCGGCGCGACCCGGCTCCACCCTCGGCCGCGCCCATCCTTCGCGAACGTTCCCGAAGGTTCCCGACAACCTCGCACATGCTACCTGCCCGACTCCGCCCTTAACCGCCGCCCCCCCCTAAGGGAACTCTCCAAAAGCTTCCCAGCTGCACTACCCGTGTCCCCTCGGACACATGTTCCCCCTACCCCTCACCCCGGTCCATCACGCGCTTCATCCGGAGCCGAGGTGACTCGTCCTCACATCCCCCCTCCGCCAGGCAGCCCTCACCACGTTCCCTCATGACCAATCATGCAGCATACTCGTTGGTTCTATTCGGTAAAGTCACGTAGGTCGAAAATAAAACAAAAATCACGACGTTTCGGCCACAACACAAGTGGCCTTCATCAGGTGATGGAACGTCGTGATTTTTGTTGTTTTATTTTTTACCTACGTGACTTTACCGAATAGAACCAAAGAGTATGGATCCTTGCAGTCACGAAAGCTTCAAATCTAGAATCATGTGGCAATTACTCGCGGCGCTGGCGGAGTGCCTGCTATTCCCTATTCTGTCGGTAGGGCTCCTTTGCCTCTTTCTGTTAGCACCCGAAACCACGCCCCCAGTGACCCACTACATTACTGCGCGGTGTCCTCACCTGTGTCCATATTTCCTTGTTATACTGCACTCAGCGCTATGCGCCGTAGCGATCCACTTGACATGACTATACATGTAACATTATTATCATCATCTTCAGAGCATGTTTTGCCACAAGTACTTCGCGTGGTTAATGCAGACTTGATTCCTTTGCCAAGGGGGATAATCTACCTGGCGTTTGAACATCTTAACCCAACTCTTGCGTTATTGCTAGAAAGGGTAAAACCTATTCTCATTTTTCATCACTTTGATACCAGCGCAAAAAGCCCCCCCCCCCCCCCCCCCTGATACGCGTGGGTGCGGTGAATGCGCAGCTCTGCAGAGGGATTTGCCCACAAACCTCGCCGCACCCAGTGTCACACAGGATGAGTGGGCAGCCTGTGGTTTAAATTTGAAATAATAATAAACTCAGTTTCATGAAGCGAATTTCGTCAAGGAGATATAAACCATCATCCTCGCAGCAGCAGCAGCAGGCGCTTTTGGCTAAACCATCGAACACAGACGGTGGTCACCCCATCATCGTCGTGCGGCGCTTTCAGACGCACTGCCTCTGCGGCCGTCTGGAATGCTCTTCCGATATTATGATGCCACTGGGAGCTATGATATACTTTAAAACCATCATCTAGATTGACAACCTCATTTCTCTGGAACTGCTTCCTGTGTTTGGTTTGTTGTGCTTCCCTCCGCACCTCCAATTAGCGCGGTTGGATATGTAGATATTCAACATACGTTACACTACAATACACTATACACAAAGCATTAAACTATACACTAAAATAAACTAAACAACACATTGCACTATAATACACTAAACACCACAATACACTATACACTACACTACACACTAAAAGACACTACTATATACTACACTATAAACGACACTACTATACACTACACACTAAAAGACACTACTATACACTACACACTAAAAGACACTACTATACAATACACACTAAAAGACACTACTATACACTACACACTAAAAGATACTACTATACACTATACACCACAATACACTACTATACACTACACACTAAAATACACTACTATACACTATACACCACAATACACTACTATACACTACACACTAAAATACACTACTATACACTACACACTAAAAGACACTACTATACACTACACACTAAAAGACACTACTATACACTATACACCACAATACACTACTATACACTACACACTAAAAGACACTACTATACACTACACACTAAAAGACACTACTATACACTACACACTAAAAGACACTACTATACACTATACACCACAATACACTACTATACACTACACACTAAAAGACACTACTATACACTACACACTAAAAGACACTACACTATACACTACACACTAAAAGACACTACTATACACTATACACCACAATACACTACACACTAAAAGACACTACTATACACTATACACCACAATACACTACTATACACTACACACTAAAAGACACTACTATACACTATACACCACAATACACTACTATACACTACACACTAAAAGACACTACTATATACTATACACTAAAAGACACTACTATACACTATACACTAAAAGACACTACTATACCCGACACTATTTTAACGGTCACTATCGGGGTAGCCTGCCGGATTTGAACCGTGAACCTCTGCAAGACAAGGGGCCACCAGGCCAGGCATCGCGACACCCACGACGACGCCTATGACGACGCCGATGACGACACCGATGACGACACCGATGACGACGCCGACGTTGATGACGACACCGACGTTGACGACGAAGCCGGCGACGACGACGCCGATGACGACGCCGATGACGTCGTAGGCATGCATCCCCAGAGACAGTCCACGCTCACAGAAACGTAATACTCACTTTATTTATTTACTTAATTATTGCACGTAACATTGAAGAACGAAACAAACAACAACAAACAGACACCGTGTATTAAACCCTGCGCTTGGGGTGGAGCCGGTGAGATCAGCTGCGAGGAAACAGAATCTGCTTCAGCCACCAGGACTTACACAAAGTCTTTGACAGGTCACACATTAAAAATAAAGACAAAGATCCCCACCAGTATAGCCTTCACAGACTGTTGGGGCAAGTGCTGTTTGCGAGAAGCAGGGGCTATGAAGGCCGGAACTGTGGCACTTAAGCACCACGCCCGGCCGCCTTTGTCTCCCCCAGTTGGCGATTTTTTTTTACACATCGCACCAGGTACTCATTAAAGGCTGAGTCGACCTAGGGGAGAAGTCCAGTGTAACCAGCTCAGATATTGGCCACTGGTCTTATTGATCATCAGCGGGGAATCGTACTCGTGTCGTCGGGTTCGTAGCACTGCGCCAACTGCTGTGCCCACCACTCCCCCACACATTAACACATGCACACAATAAACACAAAGATCCCCCGTGTAGCCTTAACAGACTGTTGGGGCAAGTGCTGTTAGCGAGCACCTATGAAGGCTGGAACCGCACACAAGGGGGTGAGTGACCAGCACCACCCCCGGCCACCTTTGTATCTCTGGTGGCTGTGTTTGCACACTGCACCAGGTACTCAATTGAGGCTGAGTCGACCTATGGGGAGGAGGCCCAGGACAGGTTCAGTTAATCGTCACCGGTGTTGGCCGTTAGCGGGAATCGAACCCGGGTTGGCGAGTTTGTAGCGCGGCAAGCTAAAGGCGAACACAACCACTCAACACACACTCGCATACACCTTAGCATTTTAACAACAGTAACCCGACAACAGCAATGAGCTGTGTGTCTGACAGAGCAGAGTGATTCACACACAGTGACGAGAGACCTCTCGTCTCCTCTCAGGACAGTTGAAAGGGCACCCCCAGCGGCAGCTGTCCCTGTGCGTCACAACGTGACCCAGCACCTGGCCTGCGAGTGGGGGAATCAGTCTGGCAGTAGGGGGTGGCCATGTTGCTGCTGCTGTGTGGGTCTGGCCTAGGGGCACCCCCAGTGGCAGCTGCCCCTGTGCATCAGTCAGTAGGGGGTAGCGATGATGCTGCTGTGTGGTCTGGCCTAGGGGCACCCCCAGTGGCAGCTGGCCCTGTGCATCAGTCTGTCAGTAGGGGGTGGCGATGCTGCTGCTGTGTGGGTCTGGCCTAGGGGCACCCCCAGTGGCAGCTGTCACTGTGCATCAGTCTGTCAGTAGGGGGTAGTGATGCTGCTGCTGTGTGGGTCTGGTCTAGGGGCACCCCCAGTGGCAGCTGCCCCTGTGCATCAGTCTGTCAGTAGGGGGTGGCGATGCTGCTGCTGCTGTGCGGGTCTGGCCTAGGGGCACCCCCAGTGGCAGCTGGCCCTGTGCATCACAACGTGACCCAGCACCTGGCCTGCCAGTTGGCATGAGTGTGCGCCGGTAGGGCAGCCGCTGTGCGTCGTCGTC